GGCAGGGGGCGAGGGCTTGCACTGGGCTGAGATGAGACAGGGAAGTGATGGAGTTCCTTAGTCCTCGGCTCCTCCTACCCACTATCTCCCGTGTTTCTGTCTCCAGTCCTGGCAACAGGGCCCACTTTGTCTATGGGATTGCTTGTGACAGTGGCTGTATCTGGGACCTCAAGTTCTGCCCCAGTGGGGCATGGGAACATCCAGAAACTCCTCGGAAGGTATTTCTAGTGGACTGTGGCTAGCTCTGGACGTTCTTAGGGTCAGAGGGAGGAAGGTTAGAGTGTGGTGGGCGGGGTTCCCAGCATCCCATGCCTCAGGAGCTCTGAGAGGCACCTGAAAGCAGCAGACCTCAGCGCAGCTCTGCTCTCACCCCAGGCTCCTCTCCTGCCTCGCCTGGGTCTCTTGGCCCTGGCCTGCTCGGATGGGAAGGTGCTGCTGTTCAGTCTGCCGCATCCTGAGGCCCTCCTGGCTCAGCAGCCTCCAGGCAAGTAGCACAGAGGCAGTGGTGGGGGATCTCGGGCCTGCCTGACTCCCGGGACCGAGATGCAGTCTCAGGCATAAAAACATAGTCAGGCAGGCTTTTGTGAGGAGACTGGGGCCTCAGTTGTTCATTCTTGGGCTTAGACTCCTTTCCAAACTGACTGTGCCCTTTCAGCACTTTACCAGTCGCCTCCCTCTTCAGACTCTGTGCCCTCAAAAATCGACTGTGTCAAGAGTTGCTAAGGGTTGAGGCTGACAAGTGGGACTCACCTCCTCCAGCCTCCGTCTTTCCCTGGTGTGGTCTCGGCCCTCCCCCTCCCCTATGTTTAGACAGTATCTTTTAGGAAGAGTCTAGAAAGCAGATCTTGTTTTCCCCCAACGGTATTGAGTATTTCAGGGAATCTGGGGGTAAACCCTAGGATGTTCTGTGTTTGGTAGTCTGATAGAGGAGTAGGTTGAGGCGGAACTAGGAGTCGGGCATGTCCAACCCTTTGATATTGTGGAATGATGTCATCTACAGAGTTCATTTCCACAGCTGAATTGCCAAGAAATGGAAAGTGTGGTCCTGTGTTGAGTAGAGTTACTATTTTGTGTTGAGCCACATTTTTAGCTGTTCTTAGCTGCATGCAACTTAAAGATTGGACAATCCTCACAGATAATTTCTTTAGAAACTTTGGAGATAACAGGGAACTTGGGAGGCAGGCAGGTGGATCTTTGTGAGTTCAAGGCCAGCCTGGTCTAAAGAGTGAGTTCCAGGATAGGTAGAGCTCTATAGAGAGACCTGTCTGAAAACACATAAAGAAAAAACTAAAAGATTTGGATATAAAGGGAGGCAGATAAATGAGGGTGGTGGCTGGTGACCGTGGGCCAAAGGGAGGTTTTGTGTGGTTCTTTCAGTTTGTTTTCAGAAGCGGCCTCTCTCTTGTGGCCCAGGCTGGCCTTGAACTTACTGTGTAGCTGAGGGTAATTGAGCTTCTCTTCCTCCTCCTTCCACTTAGCATGTTCTGGGATTACAGGTCTGCACCACTGCACCTGACTTCCTGTGTTAGTTAACCCTTCTAGAGGAGACAGGAGAGCATGTGTACATAGAAATGGAACAAGCCAGTAAGGAGAGAGCAAGTGGATAAGGACAAGTCCCAAGCAATGAACAGAGATCTAGAAACGGAAAGGGGGGGAGCCCGTGTGGAGGAGTTAGTGGTTCTCAGAGACGGAAAGCTGGTGTTGGGGAAGATGTGGGGCAGGTGGAGAGGTCAGAGGTTGACGTTGAGAAAGAATGAAGGAAGGCATTGCCCAGGCAAGAGCTCCTGCTCCCACAGCAAGGCCTGAGGAGGAGCTCAGTCCTGGGGGTCCAGAGCGTCAGCTGTTTGTCTTTCTTCTCACACAGATGCTATGAAGCCTGCCATCTACAAGGTGAGTGAGGAACCTGTTCTCTTAGTGGAGGCTTCATCTGCCTAGAGCCTTACTTTACAGATTCCACAGTGAGTCTTTCACTTCTGAAAAGCATCCCTTGTCTAGATTAAGAACTGATCTGGCTGGGCATTGGTGGCACACTCCTTTAATCCCAGCACTCCGGAGGTAGAGGCAGGTGGATCTCTGTGAGTTCGAGGCCAGCCTGGTCTACAGAGCAAGTTCCAAGACAGCCAGGCCTACACAGAGAAACCCTGTCTCAAAAAACAAAACAAAAAAATAAAATAAAAAAGAACTGATAGGGGGCTGGAGACAATTTCTCCTCTTGCAGAGGACCTAGGTTTGAATCCTAGCACCTACATGGTGGTTCACAACCATCCATCCAAAACTTGGGTTCCATGAGATCTGACCCCGAATCTTCTGAATCCCATGGGACCAGACAGTTATATCGTATACATGCTTCTACACACAAACACACACACACACACACACACACACACACACACACACACACACCACTTAGACAGATAAATCTTAAAAATAAAACTGACTAGAGTTTTATTTCCCACAGTAAGAACCCCTAATCCCGATCTTACCTCTTCTGTCCTTACAGGTTCAGTGTTTGGCAACCCTTCAGGTGGGGTCTGTGCAAGCCTCAGACCCCTCTGAGTGTGGTCAGTGCCTTAGCCTGGCTTGGATGCCTACCAGGCCCCACCACCATCTGGCTGCAGGATACTATAATGGTAAAAATCAAGACCTGTTGTTGTTGCTCTTGAAGCTTTTATATGTGCTTGGGTTTGGATTGCATCCTCCTTTGTTAAGCATCATATTGTATTATAGTTGAAGATGTTCAAGCAGGGCTGGAGAGATGGCTCAGCAGTTACACGCATTTGCTCTCTTGTAGAGAGAGGACCTGGGTTTGGTTTCTAGCACCCACCTGACAGCTCTTAACTATCTGTAACTCCAGTTCCAGGGGGTCCAAAGCCCTCCTCTGGTCTCTGGGCACCAGACATGCACATGGTGCACAGACAAACATGGAAGCAGAACACTCACACACACGAAATCCAACAAACCTCAGCCAGTCCCAGCACTCAGGAGGCAGAGTTCAAGGCCAGCCTGGGCTACAGAGCGAGTTCCAGGACAGCCAGGGCTACATAGAGAGACCCTGTCTCAAAAAAAAAAAAACCTATTTGAGGCCAGCCTAGGCTATTTTGACTTCATCTCAAAGAAAAGAAAGGGAAGATGTGAACATAATTTAATGTAGTCCTCTATAAAGATAACAGTGAATATTTGCTAGTTAAAAATAATGTCAATTCAGAATTAAGTAGAGGTGCTGGCTAGTTGGCTCATCAGTGAAGATGCCTGCCCTCAAGCCTGGTGACCTGACTTTGATCCCTGAGACCCACACATGGAAGGAGAGAAGCAGTTCCCAGAGGTTGTTCTGACCTCCACACCACATAAAATAAGTAAATATACTATTTTTTAAATTAATGAAACAAATTAGGGGGTCTGGAGAGATGGCTCAGTTGTTCAGAGGACTTGCTACTCTCCAGAGGACCCGTCTTCAGTTCCTAGCACCATGCAGCTCATCTCTAACTCCGGCTCCGGGGCGTCAGACATCTTCTGACCTATCGAGAAACACATGACACACATATTTAAAAAATGTTTTTTTAATTACAAGATTTTTAAAAAGAGCTGAACAGCTGAATAAATAGCCCAGAATGTGAAGGTGCTTGCTGCCAAGCCTGACAGCCTGAGTTCGATCCCCAGGACCCACACAGTCAAAGAGAGAACTGACTCCTGCAAGATGTCCTTCCACACATGCTGTGGTACACACACAGAAAAGGAATTAATGTAATTAAAAACATTAGGGGGATGAACAAAACCGATACATACATATAATAGACCAATAAAAAAATGTCCTCTGACATTTAACATGGATACAGCTCAGAATAACTACCCACAATGCCTGCTGATCACTAGTATGTTATGTAGTCACTATCCTCACTCAAAATAGATACAAAGAGTCATAAGGAATTTTGACATTGATGGAAATATTTGGGTTCTTGTCACTGGTACTAGTAACTGTCAAACTCCTGGAATTGTGTGCTTGAAATGATTGTACTTCACATAAATGTTTCCACTATAAAGTAGAAAAGAGAAAAGTCTGATAATGCAGGAGTTTATCAAGAGAGTTTAGAGAAAGACAACTTGATAGAAACAAGATCACAAAACAAGCTGTTTAATTTAAAGATGTAGGGGCTGGCTCAGTTAAGAACACTGACTGCTCTTCCAGAGGACCTGAGTTGGATTCCCAGCACCCACAGGCAGCTCACAGCTGACTTAATGCCAGTGCGAGGGTACCCAGTGCTTGGTGGGCCTGGTGGCACAGGGCTGATGGAAAGATTAGCAAGTGCTGCCTGATAGTCATTAGGTCCTGACAATCCCCCAGTTCTTCCAGTAAGTGCAATTTAAAGGTATTGAATTACATAGTCTTGACATTTATTCGTTAATTTGAGGCTAGAGGCCACCTTATGGAAGTTGGTTCTCTTTGTCAGCCATGTAGGTAGGTCCCAGAATCAAACTCAGGTTATGGGGTTTGGCAGCAGGTGACCTTACTGCGAGCCATCTCACCAGCCCTGTTTTATGTTTTAAGTAACAGAGACCAGTAGACTTTCTGTCCGGAAGAGAAGGAAGTTAGTGCTTTTTTAACTTCCCACCTACATCACACTTGTGTCTGTTTTTCTTGGGTGGTATTTTCTTTCTTTCTTTCTTTCTTTCTTTCTTTCTTTCTTTCTTTCTTTCTTTCTTTCTTTCTTTCTTTCTTTCTTTCTTTCTTTCTTTCTTT